CTGCTGGTGGGAGTGGCAACTTGTACAGCCACTTTGGAAACCAGTATGGCGACTCCTCAAGAAAATGGGAATGAGTCTACCACAACATCCAATAATTCCACTTTTAGGCATATACCCAAAATCTTGCAGCATATAGAATAGACAGAAGCATAATAAGGAAAGTGTGTTATAGAAAAGTAGAAAATAGCTATTTTCCACACTTGATTTCTTCACTCTCCATGATATGGAAGGAGAGTACCATATAATAACAGCAATTGTATTTTGCAGCATTGTCATATATTCTTGGGTATTCTTATTCACAATTTAGTCACATGAAAATTTGTAACTAACAACTAGATTTAACTTAGGGTAAACAACCATTTACAGATTATGTTAATAATTGCCATTCATCTATAGACACACATTAAATTATAAACAATAAAAGAATGGATTTCTATTATTTTACACTAGATTTTTACAAGATTTCTAACTATAAAAACATATATATGTGCAAATATTATTGCAATAAAAAATTACACTTTCATGTAGCAAAGTATTGCCAGTGTACAATCCACACTGCCAGAGGAGCTAGGAAAAAGGGAGGACCCCAAGAGAAGATTGCATAGTTCTGAAGGGGGACAAGAACCCCTAAGCAAAGTAAGAGCATAGGGAGGGTGAGGAAGGAGTTAGGAAGGGAAAAAGAGGAGTGGGGAGGAGAACAAGAGGACTGAGACAGGGGAGGAATAGAGGAGGCATTCACTATGGAGGGATACTATAGCAGCCTAGATACAAGGAGGGTCTAGGCCCTCCCCCAATGATATGAAGGACTTTGAAGGTCCCCTGTGGAGGACCTCACTATCCCTGGGGTAAGGAGGGAGAGAAAATTGGGCAGATCCATGCTCAAGTTCAGGAATATCTCCACATGTTCTTTTCTCCTCTGTAGATAGATGTTTCACAAAAATATGTTCAGGATCAAGGTATCCCATGAGATACAAAACAGTGTTAAGTATTAATGCTTTAATTACCAACACATATTGGCAAGCTAGTCCACTTTCCATCAACACACTGAATTTTATTGGGTCCCTTCAGTAAAAATCTAGGCTTGCAATCATATTCCACCACATCACCATGGCCATATTCTTCTTTCTTTGTTCCTTTAAATTCCCCATTGAGGAGTTCAGGAGGTTGGTCACAAGATCCCACTTGACCTATTGTAGAATATTATGTAAATATAAATGAAAATGTTCATCTTGCAGACTAAAAATCTAGTTAATAAAAAACCTTTTAAGAATTTATTCACTATATCACTTTTTATAACATTTTATTAAATAAATATTATTTACACTAGACTCACATTTCACAGTTGTAACATACCTATTGAAATAGCATCAAAAGTATATTGAAGGTGTTACAATGCTTGGTAATCCTGATACCTTGAAAATACATGAAAACCGGTCAGCAATTGTAGGTGTGTCAATTATAATGGTTTTTAAACTCTCAGTATTTTTAACATTCAGTTATCAATCTGTAAAGTGTATTAGCACTGTGCAAAGCATCTGATTAATGTGTTTTAATTTTTAATAAATGCTATTGAACTCATCAAAATCTTTTTTCATACTGTTTGAACATACTCTATGCAATGGGATGGAAGGCTTGTCCTAAAGAAATGTCATCATTAATTGTAATCTAGAAAAAATGAAAGAAGTCTTTGTCATTGCAGCTGTTGTCTGCAAGTGGAAACACAGTGGTACACATTTTAAGAAGCAAGTTAGCCTGGGATTCACCTTGTAAATAAGTGACTGTGTATTAGCCACACACCACACAGCTTGATTGTGGCTGTCTGTGTATATGCTTAAGATGATAGGCATAATGGAAGACAGGGAGATATTAGGAGAAGGAAAATAAACTTCTGATTCTTATTCATCAAATGTAAAACTGATACCGACCTTTACATGTTGGGAAACGTGGGGACCATCCAAAGTGGTAGCATTGCACTGAGTCTGGTCCAACTCTGTATCCTGGTCGGCAAGAAAATTTCAAAAAATCTCCAACTTTGTATTTTTCTTTCTTGGGGTTGACAGTTAAGTTCTTTTCTAGTAAGGGAATGCTGCATTCTCTTTCTTGAAAAGTAAAATATTAGAGTATACATTTAATCATTGACAAGGAATTTTATCGTTGTCATGTACAGTCACAGTGAAGTTTCAGTAACCATTTCCTTAGGAAAATTGTGCCTACTACCTTGATAAACTCCCTAAATTCATATGGAAGTCAGAGAAACATATGTTGATGTCATATATTAGTTATATAATTGAATAATGAAATTCAATTAATTTTAATAGTTCTGAATTGCAGCAGAAAATTATTAATGTTAAATTCTCAACTACCCTATTCCTTCAATACAAAAATTTTCTTTCATCTTTGAAATTAATGGTATACAGTACATGCATGACATTTTCAAAAAATTATTTCAATTTCATATGGTTGAGAAAGTGAAATGGTAAAATAATTTCTAATGTATTTAAAGTTAGGAAAATAAAATTATTATTTTTTAAATTACAAAACAACCTAAGAATCATGTACAAAAATGTAACTTTAGTTGAGGGTTTGAATATTCACAATACACTAAACTTTTGTTATATTTCCAATTTCTATTATTAACTGTTAATCATTCTGACTCAAATTAAGAATGTATAGTATTCTCCATTACAATTAATTTTTAAAAAACTGCCAACATTGTTAACTCTTATAAAAAATAAACATTTTTCCTTGTTTGAAATCTATCTTTTTTACTAATTTATAAAATTAAAGATTGCAACTTAAAGAGTAGGGTTATACAAAAAAAAAAAAAATCCTACTTTCAAGAGTCAAGTGTTAGCACAAAGCTAGCAACAGAAATGAAAGTCATGTCTTTAAAGCAAATAACGAAAGCCTCATGTTGAAGATAGTTACAAAACACATGAGAATGGTACATATTATAACATCTGGAAACACTTACCAAAAAATTCTTATGTTTCAATATTGGGGTTTTTGTTTGTTTGTTTGTTTTGATTAACTAAAAAAATCAGCCTTAACAAGAGCTATTAAAAGATGGGGGTAACTCAGATATTTACTGTAATGGTGAATTGAAAGGACAAAGCAGAGGATGTACAAGCTGCCCAGCCCTCTCTCAGAGATCAGTGCTCTGCTGCCTGGAAATTGCCGGGACCTGCTCAAAAATGGAAAACTACCCTGAACCAGTTCCTGACTAGCCCTGGCCAATTAGAACACAATAACATGATTGCCATTTG